ATCTCACTTTCAAACTCATTTCTCACTTCTCCTGTGTTATCTAGTTGGCTTCTGGTAGCCATTATATTCTCTGTTTTCTTACGAATCAATTTTCTTTCCTGGTTATCACTGTCCTGGCAGGGTCGCCACTGTTTTCGGAATCTGCCTGCGATTTTCTCACTCACGAAATCTCACGTCCGCCATTTTCCTTTTTCGCATGCGGCAAGTGTGGTTCGATACTCGAACCCAGTCCCCTAAGACTCCCTTATCGAGCCCAGTCTCTTAAAACGTTCTAAATCTAAATAAACGTCCATTAAATGTCCAAATAACTAAGCGTCCAACTAAATATGCTTAATAACCGTAAAGTAGTGCCAAGTTTCTTCAGCGGAGAAGTCTTGTTAGATCCACGCTGGAGGCCGCCTAAAAAATTATTGAAATGGCCATTGTGAAAATTCAATTCTTAACTTTAAGATAAAGAATGAAGAAGATGAATAGAGCAAAATTTTGGCTTCCTTTTTATCTACGGACTATCAAAAAAACTTTCTACTGAATCATGGCAAAGGATGTTACTTTCGTATAACTCTTTACTCCATCTGCTAATGATATATAAAGTATCTTGTGCTGAAATACCTAAATTATAACGTAACAATGGACGAAGTAAGTTCATTTTTTGGGAAGCCCAATCTCCAATGAGAAAAAATCAGCGAAATACGCAAAGAATTTCTCTGCGAATGGCTTAAATACTGTTTTTCTTCCAGCAATGGTTTTGCATGTTTTCCTGTTGTCTTCCCCGTTGCATTTGTCCTTATCTTTCAATGGATATAAACAAGGCTTGTTAGATTTGTATTATTCAATTACTGATAACAACACGGCATGCGATCGCAGAAGCAAATACAACAGAATTTTAATAATAAGTCACAGCCTGAACCATTTGGGGAATGAGGAACTGCATTAATAATTTAACGTTGATTGGCTGGATGATACTGAAGATAGATTTCCCAAAGAAATTCAATCATATTTTATGCATACTCAGCACAACTTTTGTTGCGAACAGACCAATAAGCTGTGCTCACTGCCGAATGCGGAACTGATTTGCCAACTGCCAAAACTTTTATTCTGTTGACGAAGGAATACTTTTTCAGATAAATACGAGGGTATAATTTCATTTCTACAAGAATGAATTTCGCAGCAAATTCACTAGACTGCGAATTTGGTGCGAAAATTTCTCTTGATTTCCACCAGACAAAACTTCTAGGCACCCGATTTCGAAAATGCAGGCATGGAGGTTACCTTATCAAAGACCAAGCGAATTTAAAGTCCTCTGATTGGTTATCAGCTGTAGCGAAGAAATCAAAAATCAAAACTGCGCATGCCTGTGTTGATTCATTCCAAACTACGGATTGTTGAATTCAGCCTTTACACATGCAATTACTGGAATTATTTCTTGTTCTAAAACCCATATCCTTTAAATCTTTTTCTTATAATATTTTTTTCCTTATTTGCAAGAAATTTTGGACAAAGCTGAAGACGTTGTCGAATTTAATGTTAGCACATTGACTAAAACCAGAAATCACGACAGAAATATGATATAAATAAAACCCGAAATCACGACATTTCTAAAAACCTGGGTACACGGTTAAAGTATTCCACAGAAAAACACTTAAAACGCGAGCAGCATTCACATTCCCAAAATATGGCACGGCTTTTAGAAGCAAAAATAGCTGAAAGGAGCGTCAGTCTGTATAACTGTAAGTGTGCCTAATTCATTCATCCTATCTACATGGCCTTAGGGCGTTGGCTGGCATTGTTGCTAAAATAACCTTTTCAAATATTGCGGCTTGCTATATACATAAACGGGCAAAAAAACTTGTAAATTTTGACATCTAGGGAATAAGCTTAATTTTTCAAGCCTTCACAATTTCAGATGTCATCTTTTGAAACTATTTTACTACTTTCAATTCCAATTTTCTGCAAAATCTTCTAAAAATTTTTTTTAAGATTAAGATATTTACTAATGATTTACATGCAATTTCTACTGTTTTAAATTTGGTTTTAGTAGGTGTAATATTTTGAGTGAGAGGGGAGTTCAAGAATACCAACGAAACACGTACAAATGAGTAGTTCAGTGCATCTAGATAAGTTCTTGGTTACTTTACATAAAATGTCTTTTAAATGCCTATAAAAACAGATGCTTTCAAACAAACGGTGGATTCCCAGCCATTTGATTAAGAGCAAAGACCATTGTCCTTGAAAACCACTGCTTGTTTTTCTTTGCTTGTTTTTTTTGATAATGACACTGATGTTTTGCTTCATTACGTCATCATGCGAATGATTGTCCTCCATCTGCTGTTCAGGGAGCGATCCTTCTCTGCTATCCCTATGAAGATTCTCTTTCTCTGGCTCAGGGACGACCATAGGAGATTTTTTCATATGTGTCAGACGAAAAGCTTTAGTATACTCAAATGCTGGGTTTTTTCAAAGCCATTTCAAATTTTTGTGCCACCAAAATATTGTTTGTTTGCTTTTAGTGATCAACAATCTACCTTTCGTGGAATGGGGATCTGAATGCCCTTGTTAATGTATGTATTGAGTAGGTTATGAAGATGTTGATCTCGTGAACGAAACCATGTATCCTGGCCATTCATTTATGACAATTTTAATTGGGATAGCCGAATCAAAACATCATGTCCCCTGACTATAAGACCCTGCTTAATTGCTAGGGGTCCAAAAAAAAGTTTTAAGACAATTTTTTCAACTATTCGATTAAAAATGTTCCAAAGGCTACATTAAAAGGCTTTAAACATAAGTTTCAATGTAGCAAAAATACATTTTTTGTTTGTATTTGTTTCTACCTAGCATCCGAAGGTAGTTTTTAGGACACTGAGAAGCTTATGCTTATCGAGCAGTGTCCTGGACCTTCCTTTCGATGTGACCACACCTCGTGATTCCTATCCTGGAATTACAGAGAGCTGGCGACTCTTCTCACTCTGGGTGAAAGTTTTGTCATGCCAGGGGCTCGAACCACGGACCCTTGGGTCTGTAGTCAGCGCCTCTAACAACTGAGCCTTCCTCGCACCCTAAAAAATACATGCAAAGTTCCAAAGACTTTATAAGAGCTCAATAGGGTTTTATCCATAGTATAACAACCATAATAAATTTTTTAAGCGCTGGTTTACATAATATATCCTAATATATCATTCTTGCATGAATAAAGCTCGTTGACATGATCTTCTAATGGACTAATGCTGGTAGGCATGATGTTCTAATGGACTAAGGCTCGTTCACGTGATCTTCTCTAATGGACTAAGGCTCGTTGACGCGAGCTTCTAATGGGCTAAGTCTGGTTGGCATGATCTTCTTCGTACAGTCTAACACTCATTGACATGATCTTCTAATGGATTAAGGCTCGTTGAGGCTATCTTCCAGTTGATTAAGGCTCGTTGACATGATCTTCCTCTAACTGTCCAAGGACTATGACATGGTCTTCAAATGGATTAAGGCTAATAGAAACGACATTCTTCTAATGGACTAAGGCTCGTTGTCATGATCTTCTTCTTAAACTCTAAGGCTCATAGACACGACGTTCTTCTAATGGACTAAGGCTGGTCGACATGATCTTCCACTTGCAAACAGTATACCTTTTCTTTGGATTTAGGTTTAAAGAAAGGTAACCAGCCCGGATAAAATTTTATGAAAGCTGCCTTAATGATTCAGATAGTATCTTTTGTTCACAAGCCCTGACTTCGTCGTCGTCGTCGTCGACTGAGAGTCGTCGAAGCAAATTCATTTTTTGTGAAGATCGAATGGGCTCGAGATCTCTCTAACACTGCCTTTCATTCAGCAATGGGTTTGCATGATTTCCTGTTTGTGGTTTTTCTTACCTTTCAATGGCTTTGCTCCATTTCAATTAATCAATCATTGATAACAACATGACATGCGATCGCAAAAACAAATGCAACAGAATTATAAATGATAAGTCTCAGCACGAACAACTTGCGGAATCGTAAAATACAATGCCTTCCAAAAGTTTTGGTGCACTAAAGTCAGTTTTCAAAAGCAGATTCAGCCATCCCCCTCCCCTTTTTAACAATATTTGTTTATTACAAAATGACGTAGGGGTTAGGAAGTACGTTTTTCCTGCGACTTGTATGATATTTCTTATATGATATTGTATGATGTTTTCAAGGGAAGGGGTGCGGAAATGGGGGAAATTCGGAATAATAATTGAAAAGTTTGGAAAAATGAAGCCTATTGCTGCATGTTTCAAGTACTTTTGGCAATAATTGTACATAAAAGATTTTACGTTCATTGGCTAGATGGCAATAATGATAGGTTTCCTAGAGAAATGCAATCATACTTTATGCACCCTCAGCACAACTTTTATTGCAAACAGACCAATGAACTTTGCTCACTGCCGAATGTGGAACTGATTTGCCAACTGCTTCTTTATAAGAATATTCCCTTGTTTTGATCCTTAACTTAACTTTACAAACAGAAGATAACTACTGCTCACTTTTAGGTGCAGTTCTGCACTGCATACCGATGAGAACATGATGCTTACCCTTTCCAATTGTTGCTGAGAGATGCTTCATAGATACGGACTTTCCTTCAAAACCACAATTAAACATTGTTTTACTTTGTTTAGAAATGGATCGCCTATTCTGGGGTATCACTCATTCTCAGTAAAATTGGCGAGTTTTCTTTAAAGGCATTTGACACTGGTGAAAGGGGCTTACAGCCACTCGCGGTTGATCTATCAAATTGCGCGCAGAGAAAAGCACGTGAACAGTTTCCGCCTTTCTGCAGATCGGCGAAATCTTAGAGCAGCGCATAGTAATTTCATGTGAGCAGTTTCCAATTTCTTTCATGCGCGCGTGCTCTGATGAATATGACCTAAGGTATTTTTGAATTTGCTGTTCTTATGCATGACAAATGCCTTAAACAGCTATTAGTAGCTGCGACCTGTTATTTTTTTATTTATAAAGATGGAAGGACAGAATATCATAAAGAAACTAGCAATGCAATGTTAATATTTATGACTTAATAAGCAAGCAAACAATGTATTAAAACTTAATCAAGAAAAAATTGGAAATCCAAAATCCAAAAATTGGAAATAATATCTAAAATTAAAACGATATTTAGATATTTCAAAACGAGGTTTGGATTAAAATATTTGAGACCTTTTCACCTAACACAAGGTATTTTTAAGCTTATCAATGACTTTTTTACAGCAGATCAGCTTCACTCGTATTACTATAGCCAATTGATGAAGTAAAAGCAAATATATCTCCATAATTTCAGTTTGATTGGTCTCAAAACTAGCCAAAGTCGATAGGATCTGCGGATATTTTGCACTTTTGCCAAGCTTTCTCAACCCTTCCTAAATTCAACGCAATCGAAACGCCAAACAAATTACAAAAAATACTCCTGGAGACGTTGGGAGCAAAATAACGTAGCTCCATGGACAAGCGACTATTCAGCTAAAAACATACACCAAAAAGAGTAAAAAATAATCTCCAGTGCGTCTAGATGACCTCGTAGACACGCTACATACAATGTTCTTCAAAAGCCTATCTAGAAACAATGTTCGCAATCAAACGCTGGATTACCAACCATTTGATTAAGAGCAAAAAGCGTTGTCCTTGAAAAACTCTGCTTGTTGTTCTTTGCTGATGACACCGATGTTTTGCATTTCTGCGTCATCATACAAATGACCGTCATCTTTGTGCTGTTCAGGGGGCAAATCCTCTTGGCTACCTGCATAACGATTGTCTTTCTCTGGCCTAGGGGCGACCTTGGCAGACTTTTTCATATGTGCGACCTTGAACGCAAGCCCAGCGACAACCGCGACCAGTACAGCAACAGCAACACCCATGCCAACGAAAGCTGTCGTTTTATCTTCATGCCCTTTTTGTGCTTTGTCTGGAAAAGAGAGAAAGAATCATCGACGTGCTGTAATTTTACACGAAAATTGCCTGTTGTTAAGTGTTCGATGATGTTTAGATAAAACTTTTCTGGCTTTTGTATGAAGAACAGGACGATTCAAATCTGCAACTGTCACACTAAATGCAACATTTGAGGTAACTGCCAATTATGATTGAACTATTAATTAAACACAGGCTACCAACATTCTTCAGTCCTGTGGCTATGGGTGTGGCTTCTAGATGTTGCCATGCTGCCATGAATTCACTCTAAACATATCCTTTATTTTTCCATGTGTAACTGAAGATATAATTTAGCAGAATGACATATGAATGAAATTAGAATTTACAAAAAAGGAAAACGAAAAACAATCTGATATCTAAATACGTCACAGCCACGAAGTGAAACGAATGCATAAGACATGCGACGAGAAAATTAATTCTAGATCCAACGAAGCAAAAATAAGTACATAGTCGAGAATCAAGTTGGCTGGGGAAGTACAAGCTAATATGCCACGTCTTCAAAATTCAATGATAGACGAATCGTTCACTTGTTTTTGGAGTTTGTTTAACAAGGATGTTCTTTTCTGCACTGTAAGCCATTAACTTCAAGAGACTTCAAATCAGACAACAAAGCATTCAGGATTTAGGCATGCGTTACTTTTTGGTATGGGAATATGTCCACTTGATGCTTACCTTGGCTGCTACCAGCAGCTCTGCGAACCTCCCTCTCTACCATGTAAAATTTTGAAGGAGGATCGTTTGAGACACCGCTCAGGTCTCGCTTTCCTCTGAAAATGTTATTGCCAGTGCACCCGTATCGGCAGCGATAATCCGTTGACGTGGAATGGCACAGGAAAACGAGGCAGTGGAAATATACAGATGTGCTGTTATTTAGAAATTTGAACGACTGAATACTAAAGCGTTGACGGTGGTTTTGCGTCTTGTGAAACTGGACAGTGTTGTCGTTAGGGCATCTAGAATGCAAAAGTAATGAAGGTTATCGGTATTTATATGAAAGGACTAAAGGATACTTGATTACCGTATTTGTAATGGAAGCACTAGATTTGGAGAGGAACCCTTGACAGTGGTCCACCAGACACAGAATAAACATCAACTTCTCTAAAACATTTGTTTTTGCTGGCATGTAATATGCAGTGCATGTGCAAAGAGAGAGTGCAAAGAGAGAGTGCAAACGTTTAATAGATGCTTTAAGTCAGGAAAACCGCAATATTTTAAAAGAAGTAAGACAGAGGTTAAATGGAACTTAATGATAAAAGTTTTTTTAGAGAAATGCAAAAGGAGAGGAAAACAAAAACAAACAGCAAAAGCTTACAGTCGAGGAAAACATTACCCACCTAGCCACATCTTTAATCATTGCTATAATGGTACAACCAACCCTTAGATTGTTGTTGCCAATTTTGTTGGTTTTAGAAACGCTACAGAAGGGGAAACATACGACATTCCTTGCATAGCAGTGACCTGGACATTGGACATCTATTGTTTTAATTGAGACGTTCCTCGAAACGCGTAAACTTTACTTTCTTTACATGTGCCAGAATTTAGTCACTTTCAACATGAAAAACCAAAAAACATATTACAACAAAAGGGTCATTGTTCCAATGTCCTTGAAGATGTCGGCCACCCCTGCGCCTCAACCGTTACGGCGTATCATGGTGTAATTTAGGTACAGTGGGTACCAGACTCACTTTGTATAATGTAATATAGAGCAAGTCTGCAGGGCCGTCGCTAATCACTTTCACTAAGGGGGTGCCAGTCACAAAGATAGGGTGTGGCCTAAGGTATTTCAATTTTTGGGTGTGATATTTTGACGCAATTGATTTCGTTTATCAAAGAGTATGTTCTCGTTAGTCAATCATCGCTTCAATTTTCGAGTGACTGTGGGTACTTAGTTGGCATGAGTACATCTTACTAATAAGACCGCCAAGAGGTTTCGAAAGCCTTGAAAGAAACCCGAAAGAAGAGGCCCCTGCGAGTGCGGCCCTTTCGAAAGCCCAGAAATTTTTTGCGACTACGCCCTTTAGGTTGTCTTAAAATGCATTTCAGAATATTTCTTGCAGTCATTTCTTGCAATCGTCTAAAACTATTAACTATTTTTAGGCATACTTCTTCTACGTTTCATGGATTTCATTCTTAAAATGGAGTTCATTACTACTTGAGGCCCCATCAACCTCAAGGCCCTGAGACACTTTGCCCCCTTGCTCTCCTCGGCAGCGCCAGTGGCTTCCAGTCGCCCTGGATATTGGACATTAGATTCTAGACTCCGGCTGCCGACAGGGAATCATTTGAAATTTTTGGTGGACATTTGCCCCTCCGTGACACCCATAGCGCCATCTGTACCTATTTTGAATTGCTGAGGGTTTTTGGATTTTTTTGGTCTTATCCTCATCTTATCCAAACTTTTTGCTAAAGAAAATTATCTAGAAAATTTGCCGACAAGAATTTTCTAGGGGGGGGGGGTGCCGCACCCCCCGCACCCCCCGCTAGCGACGGCCCTGCAAGTCTGGAACCCAGGGTACAATATATGCTACCTGTTGTTGATGAAGACGTATTTCATGTAGTGGTTCCTATCCATAGTTGGCGTGGAAAAGCATTGATCGATGAGTATGACTGTGTTGTTGTCAGAATTACTCGAGTAGACTTCAAAGTGCATCCAGTCTCTCAGCTGAACACTCACAGGGTAATGGGAATGCATCGTTGAATAAGTATGGTCAGTGTACATGACAAAATTGAAACTGAAGTTTCCATATCCAACTAGGAAGAGATCAGAGTTTTTTTGAGAAAAATAAAAACAGTTATTCTGAGGAATGATAGATAAATTCAATATGACCCCAAGGTACAAGATGTTTGCAATGCAACTAAATTGAACCTAATTGCGTCAGTAAGAAAAGACATGAGATGTATATCATCCGATGTTTCAACATTGTTAATATTCTTACATCTTAATCTTGATCAAAAGCTCAGTTCCTGAAAGAAAATGTATCCTTAAAAATGTAACCATAAAAAGCTTGAAAGTTCCACAAAATACACTCTCAATATGCTAGATACATTGCTGCAGTAGGGGGAAAGTACAATGCTACATAGAGAAACGAATATCTGGAGTCGGATATTTGATCGAATTCTGAAATCAATCTTACCTTCAGATCCAGTGACATTGGATATGGGTAAATACCTGTATGAGGATACATAGGCATTTTTCTCAAAATAGCAAGTAAATTTCACTCTCTGGTCAGGATCCCTTATTATTATACCAGAGATAGCTTTAGGTTTGAAAATGACTTCATTCTCGTACACAATGTAACTCGACGTCTCACTTCTAGTTGACCCACATGCGCCTGGTACACTACCAAGTATGATGTTGTAGCTGCTAATGGATGCTGAACAGGAGGTATCTCGCAATGTTATGCTTGAAAACAGGGATGTATCGTAGAAGGCTCGATCAAAGTCGATCCTCATATAGTTTTGAGTGCAGGACACGACGGAGCTTTTGTCTAGTAATAAGAGAAAAAATTTCTATGTTAGTGCCATTTTTCTCTTTCGGCCGAAGGTCGCCTACAACTTATTACAAGAGGTAAACCATTCTTATTTTTCTGACCAGTGCATTCTGATTAATGTTGACCTGGAGAATTCGAAAATATATGCTGCAAAGCCAAATTTTGCATTTTTCACACTTAATTTGCATGATTTTAAGATGGCCAATCTCTAGCTAAAGCTACAAAAGGGAGCGGGAGTGGTTTTGAGGACTTGGAGGGCTGTTGAGAAAAGGGCAACAAAAAGGGGTTTTAGATCAGGATTTATGTTTGTACCCTTGTTCCCTTGGGGTTGGTGGAAAGGCTGTTACATAGGATGTTAGAAGTAATAAGTGGTAATGAATAAAGGAAAACGGATGGCATGTTTTAGGAGAAAGTTACATCTGGACATTATTACAAGAAAAAATGGACATTTGAAAACAAATTATTAATCATGATTATTCCATACAACATTGCAAAAATGATATAACGCTTACGCCACCTCTGCGGTATTAGTCTGCGATATTAGTCTGCGATATTGGCCTGCGATAATAGAGTTCTAAAGTGTGACGTCACCAAAAACCTATTTTTAGAATTATTGAATTTTAACCACGTAGCATAAAATATCATCATGAAATACTTTCAAATATGCAAAATTGGCAAAATATATCTAAAATTGTTTGAGATATGGCCGACGAAAGATTTGAAGTTTGCTAACGAATCCCTGTTATTTTCGCTATGTTCATAAAGTTATGAACAGAGACAAAATTACAGAGGTTCGATGGGAAAAGAGCCAATACACACGTGGCCATATCTCAACCAATTCGTGACATATTTGACTGATTTTGCCCATTTAGAGGTATTTCACGGTGCTCTTTCAGGTTATGGGGAAAAAATTCAAAAATTCTGAAAATAGATTTTTGTGACGTCATCACTTTAGAACTCTATAGACTGCGATAATAGACTGCGATAAAGGACTAAGATAACAGACTGCGATAAATGACTTATGAATAGACCTTAATGTTTGAAAGGCTCAACAGAGATCACACTTTTGATCATCGCAATTAAAAAAACGGAATATTTCAAGATCACCTTTAATTCCACAATATCTCGAGTTGCACATTGGAACACTATCCAGCCAGTACACATGGAAAGTGCCGCAGTTCCTGATCATGATTGACTTTGTGGAGGAGCAAGAACAGGAATAATGTGGAGAAAAGCAAACATATCTGGCAACAACACCTGAAAATAGAGAAGAAAGGTAACATGGAATTAAAGGTTTCCCTGGAAAAAATTTTATGACCCCTTCCCACGAATATTTCTCCGCCCTAATAAGTTAAACTTAGAGACATCATTGTAGTCAATAATTGATAACACACCCAGTAGTGAATGAAAAAACCAATGTAAACGAATAATTTACAAAGATATCGTAGAAGAAAGTGAGAATATCAACATTTCGACAAAATTGATATTTTATGGTAATCGCGACAAAATTTGAAAAGGAGCTTTAATTATGGCGTTCTTCAGATACTTCTTTTAAGGCATTCAACGGCTGGATCTACCTACCATCAGATACTGAGGGCAATGCTCCATTTTGAATCCATCCTTGATAATACGAACCACATCTGTATACAGAGCCACCAAGATTTTTTGGACAAGAATTCATCATTCTGTTGCCTGCATTACCCATGAACCGATACCAGCCAAATAGTTCTTTGTCACATCGATACGAACTCCAGTCGCTGAAAGTCGCAGCACGGTCATTATTTGATAGCACCTGGTAATATTTGCACCCATCTAAGGCTTGGATGCGAGAGGTAGTCTGGGGCATAGCGGACTGCCACGCGGAATATGCTGGGGTTGCAGAAGTTTGGAATGTCACAGAAGTGCTAGGTTGAACAGATGTTGTTGCAACAGCTGAAGTGTTGTTAACAGAGCAGTCTGTCGTCGTGTCATTGCCATACATGGTGGTTTCTGAAAATAAGCAAACAAATTTATGGTAAAGATTTTGCTCTTGCTACAAATGAAACACAATGCCCCCTATTCTTGGCTCTTCGTCATAAAGATTTCGGTGGTGCAGCCCTTATCATGCAATATTTGACATGGTTTTCGATAATAATTCTTGTTATCAAGAGCTCTTTTACGGTTATCAAAAGTCAATTAGACATTTATACTAAACTTTATCTTATAAACTTAAGAATCTGATAATCATGTTTCTCATCAAAGTATTCCTTATTTATCCTTCTAGAATTTGAGGATAAAGTAATGTTTGCGAATTCAAAGATGTCCGCATCAAAATAAATAGCTGCATGTAAAAAACTCAGGGACAATATTCTGAGTCCTGTATGGGAAAGGCTCGATTTTTACTTGAAAAGTTTCACATGAATTTATACAGACTAGTCAAGTGGCAGTAGTAGCATAGACTCGATAGTTTAACTTTAAATGGCTTGCTTGATTTCTGCTGACTGACTTATAGTTTGTTGTTCCTATATGATGTTGTTCCTACCCCGGGTAGAGTAAATGTACACCATAAATTGCAATGGAATGCTGCTTTGTCGCTCGTATTGACCAGATCCAAAGCTGTATGCAAAATCTTCCACCATTATAGCCAAGGCGTACCAGCCATTTGAGTTGTATGATGAAATTGACAGCGTGCAGTTCTGCTTGGAAGAAAGAATTTTTTTCAATGAGAAAAAACGGCTTGGAAGGTCATTAATAATACTTAGATGAGAAATTAACTTGAGAATCGTAGGTTGATTATCGGATAAATAAAAGAATGATCTATGTTAACAGAGACCTTTCAGAAGTTTATCATAACCCTTGTACTAATATAGATTCCAGTAGTACTGACAGAAGGACGCATATAAAATTAAAAAATTGTCCCCTGTGTGTTGTGGTGTGTAACGTTTATCTGACACCATGCCAATATATTAAAAAATACTGTTAAAATTCGAACTCATTATAACAGCCTGATAATTTTTGCCACAGTTCGATTTTTTATTTTTTTAGCCTGTTCGAAATGTTGTTCTTATTTCAACATTCAATTTTCTATATTCAAATCCTTATAATAATTCAAACCCGCTATGCACCTGTTGATTCTCCAAGATGTACGCAATGAAGACAACCAAGTTTTTAAAGGCCTCGGTGTCGAGCTCAATCCAAAACATAACAAAATGGTTTATAGGTCAAACGCTACATCATGTTTGGGTGTGATAAGCAGACTTGAATTCACGTTTTTCTTTCATAAGAAAGTTTTTCTAAGCCCAGCCCTCGGGCTTTCTTAGCTATATCCTAATTTCAGCACTTAAACTTTCTTAACACTTTCTTAACGTAAAATTGGAAAGTTTTACGTTACTAAGCATGCGCAGAGAAGGAGAAGATGCTATAGATATGCTATATTTCTCAAAAACCTTCAACGTCATACTGTATTCGTCGTTTCTTCTTCAGCACATTACTGTATTGTTAAAATATTTCACTCTTACACCACAATTTCCTTCGAGACTTTGAATATCTAAATTTTTAACTTTCTTTATCTAAATTTAGGTTTAAAAGATCCAGCCCTGAACTTTCTTATTTTTTGAAGAACCAAGCACTTTCTTATAAAATACATACTTATAAAAAAACGTGTATAACAGTACTGTAAATCGTTTTTGAGACCACTAACTAATAATTTTGCATGATGTTAGTTGTTAGTGGAACGGTTGATAAGCTGATAAACCTTGACATGTAATAAATGTTACAAACCGTATGTAAAGTAGAGTAAGGTATACGGGAATGGTATACACCTCCACCTTCAGTGGAATTGGCAGCATATCGGCATCGAACCATGTCTCCATCGGGATCAGATACGGGTAACATGTAGCTCCTATTGGAGTATCTGTAATGCTGTATCATGGGAAGGAAATCGACCTGAGGTGGTGTATTGACCTTGTTAGAATTGCTTAAATAGGATCCGCGTTTCTTTAAGGAAATGACAGTTTCAAAGCTCCATGACGAACTTGGATCTAAAACCAACCCGAGACCCAGCAGCAAGATGAAGATCTAGTGTGAAGATAATGAGTTTTTATCAGTTTCTCAAAAACATACGTGTACCGCTTTAGTCTTGTTTTCATACAAATAATGTAACATGACGAATGTATAAATATTTATGTCCGATATCAGCGCAATATGCAACAATATTTCATTAATTAATGTTTGGCGCTGTACTGAATCATGGTTATATCCATCCATATTTCATCGTGTAGTCATCATTTATCCGTAACCATGCCAAGATAAGGGAGTGGTCATTAAGTATGTGCAATGCCAGGGCAGAGGGTATTTTAGAGGGGTACAGGATTTTCCTGGAACTGTAAGATGGGGGTACGAAGTAAACATTAAAGTGTTTTAGAAAAAATTCTTTATAGTGTTATCCTAATAACCTCAGCCCCAGAATAGCACATACTTAATAACCACTCCCTAAAGCCTTGCTTGTAAACTGTACTGAATAAGACGTACTGTCTACATCGAATGAATAAATGTTAGCAACGAATGACAAGTTACATTATGGAAATCTTGTACACCTTTGGTGACAGAAAATCCGTAGAAATCCTTTTTGTTTTGGTGGAAATCTTGTACGCTATGCGCAAGAATGAACTTCCCATCGATCGAAACAGGTAATAAGCAAGAAATTACAATGGACTGTCACTTACTGTAATTTGTATGCATAATTCTTATTCAGGTAGATCGTGCGTGTATTAGATCCGATAGTAAAATCGTATTCGGTGTTGAATCTTTCACAAAAAAATGCAGCAGACGTTGATTGCATTAAATGTGGAAAGTTATAGCCATCGAAACCATAGCTTAAGGTGTAGTGCCCGTGTTGGAAGAGCTGGCAGTTCGTTATCGATGCATTTGTGCAGTGGGACTGACCGTCACTCCTCCTCCATGATACTCCATATTTGATGTTAACCTAAAAATTGCCGCAAATTAAACTTTTATTGAATCAAATATCCACGTTAAGATTTATCAGATAAACGTTGGAAATGGTTCTTCCAACTTGTCATTTCTTAGTTACAAAGGCACATATCTGATTAAGATCATTATTTGCTTTAACACAATTGTAAGGACCCTTACCGATCGGATGTAATCTTTTCTCGAACGTCAATATATAAAGAACCGAATAAATGACGTAACCTTTAGGGTCTTGCTTTAATTTGATACTGTTATAGTGTACTTTCTACTTCTGTATGTAAGTCTATATTGCCCTGGCACGCACCTAGTTATATATAGCGTTAACACGATTGCCTATTTCCATGAGCATATGCCCCATTTCAGTCTGAATTGTTTCATATAAGGAAATCTTCTTCTTTCTTTTTGTCAGCCTTTGTGACTGTCTCCTTGGACTCTTTCGGACTCTTAGGATATGGACGGTGTTAGAATTCTTAAGTCACAAACGATGCTTTTAAAAATTTTGAATTTGGGTCGCATGGCCTCAAAGAGCATCATGTAATGCCCCTTAAATGTGCTTAATCAGGTGAATGTACTAGAAATTGCCCACATAAGCAGCATAAAATCAAACATTTTTCTTTATTTGCAATTTCTTTCGTTCACAAATTTGCTTAGTATCCTTTTCTCAAATTTCAAACCAAATTAAAAATCCAAGAACAAAAGATACGTGAGTCCAAAATATTGGTATGTTCTTTGTGTGTGGTGGTCATCTCACCAATCTTTCCTTCATTTGATTTATTTTTTTTATATTCCCAATTTCGTGGGAATGACAAATGTTTTTGAACTGTGATTCTTTTCGCCTGGAGGCTTATTTTCTTTGAGTAAATAGAGAACCGAGCACAATTTGTTGTAAAATTTATATTCTTTTCACCTACCTTCCAAACATTACGTTAAAGAAGGCTACGGAGGACATGGGAACAAATACTGACAGGCACTGACTACAGTTGATTTGTAATTGAAACCAATCATTTGTAGCCATCACATAAGCGATATGACCCAGTTAATAATCACTACAGAGTAAACCGATATAAAAGGGCATAGAAAATGCTGTTTCTTGACTGAGCGATCTGTTTGACTTAAAGGACACGGAATAGGACACTGTCCAGTCATCATAAACAAAAAATCATGCATGTATTAACATCAAAGAAGCGAAGCATCAGTGAAAAGAGCAATAGAATAACAAAATGAAGGAGCACCCGCTGCCCCCATTGTGCACGACCCTTGCATATGAATGCACTTCACGGCCAGTTCAAATCCCAGTACTTTGAATATAAATTCATCTTAGGATTAACCAATAGTAACTTCCATGACCATAGTTCTCACCCTTTTCGAGAAACTAAGAAAATATTTGATGAGGAATAGCAATCAAGAACCAGCCAACACACTTTTATGAATGTAGGCAATCCAAACCAGTCACACAGGAGGATATTTTGCTTCAGCGTTAACGGAATCACAGGATCATTTCTTTATCTCTTGCTGGCCGAACTCCGTCTTCAATAATTTAGCTTAAACGTGAATAAGTCATTAGAAATATTTCGATAGATTTATAAGAATTAAGTTTAAAGCCTGTGCATTCATGACAAACGTCACACTTAAAAGAAAGCTCCTCTATACATTGCCTCGGACTAATATTTTTCGGGTGTCTTTTTTGCGGGTCAAAACTTTTTCCCTAGTGTTTGGTCAAGTCACAGTTTCTTTGCTGACTTAATTGAGTTCTAGGAAATGCAAAAACTTCAATATAGAGAAATTATGAAAAGTCCCTATTTCTCAAAGTTTCAAAATCGATTGGATCACGTTAACATGTAGGCCTATTTTCAACCTTTCTGTGTTAATATTAGTCTTATTGACCCACGCTTGTATCAGGTATTTTGCCAGTCAAAATATTAAATTAAAGAACAACGAAAAATACCCGATAAAACGAAGTAACACCTTTTTCATTGTTACAAACGCTTGTTTTGACCGTTTCCTCGTTAAAACATTTATTGCACGATGCTTGTTGCACCACCTGCATCCATGCATGCGCAACGTACAACTGTGGTACAGTCTTCCTACCAAATTATACGCCTTGAGTTTTCTTTGGCTTTTTGATGAATTTATTCTAGTGTCTCAATAAAGCAAACCAAGTATTTTATGTTTTGGCCATCCACCGAAATTCTGCGTGGTAATACTTTCATGCTAAATTGTTAAAAGATTTTCCATTTCATTTCATGATTCTTCTTTAACGCTAACTTTATCTCTAACCATAGTAAATGCTGTAACACTTTGTTGGTGTTACTGGACATCTTCCAAGACCAATCTAAAAACAGAGAGGCACCTTTTCCATACCTCCGTGCAACATGCGCAGCGAGCTTCTTTTGTCGCGGGGAATAACGGGTAAAACGGCAGGGGACAGGAAAATCGACAGTGTCAGGGTAAAATTGCAGTCAAGCTAGAATCCCTTTAAATCAAATTGGTAAATCAGGGCAAAACATGTAAATTTGCCTATAATTCTAAAAACCTCCCGAAATTAAGACTGAAAGAGAGGAATCTTAGCATGAAGGTCTGTGGCAGTTTTAGGGGATCCAGATGGGCCACGGCCCTAGGCTCCGTGCTGATGGTAAGCTGAGAGGGTCCCGTACATAAGAAAAATAATAAAAATGGTAAAGAACTAGAGCCTCGCAGATGTTCCTTCTATGTTTCTAGCATTTTTTAGTTAAAGCACTACTAAATGGTTTTACCGCTTTTATGTACTTTATCTCGTTTATGGTAAGCAAACATATAATTTAATTTAATTTGAAAATCCCAGTTGAGCCTTCACGATATGTGAGCTAAAAAAATTTGCTACCTGAAAAAATATTTTGGGTTCACGATAATTTTAAAACATTTAGTCAGCATAGTTGTCACAGTTTACATCAAGATGGTTGTACACACGGCTTGAAAATTATGCTAGCTAGAGAACATGACAGCATGAACAGACAATGCGGAGCGTTTAGAAAATTAGGGGGGGTGCCTAAAACAGAATAAACAGGGGCGTTGCTCGTGGTCCGATTCTTAATCATCTACATTTTTGGCAAAACTTTGGGGGTTATAATCCCCTAACCCCCTTGCTTTCGGGAGCTTGCGTAGAAGAGAAGAATTATTCACGTGTGGTTGTACTTGGTTTCTTGGCGTTTATAGGCGTAAATAGTAAGGCTGGACCACGATTTCATAGGTTGTATTGGGTTTTGGGTGCACAGTATCCTAGCAACGCAAGCTTTTAAGCTAACATCAAACCAGCTTTGTACAAAATAAAAAAATTCAAGAACTGATCGACATTTTCATTTTTACCTCTATTTCTTTTTAACCGCCATACTCCAAGGTTCTCCTTTTCTTATTTATTGCCTTCTATAAAAAAGCCAAATTAAAGTTCATGGGTCCTTGGTTTGGTTTTAGGGACTGGAGGATCTTGAGACAGTAAAGACCAGATAATAGAGTCAAGAATGGAAGGCAGCCCTAGAAAATCTCATGTTTTTAAACCGATTCGTTGCGAAAAACGTTAAAAGATTCCGCATACCCTACAACACAGTTCCATCACACGCTGTGAAGCGTTGGCTGGAGCTAAATTAAAGTTTTGTCAATCAACAAGATAAACGATATCATATACATATGATAACTGATAAAGCACTTGACCACTGATTATTAGCAATGTCTGACGTACAAGATAAAAACCACTTTGTTGCCATCGCTTCCCTTGCTATCGCCACCCTGGTTACTAGAGCCACGAAATTTTGAGCGCGTAAATAGAAAACCAAGCGGGGAAGTGGTGGTCCCCTATCTTCTATTTCTATGCTTGAATTCATGTGGCTCTGGTACTCGGGGTACAATTTAAGAAACCCCACTTAGATTCAGATTCAAGCGTAAATATTAACATAAAGATCCTAAACGTTGTAGGGTAAGGAGTACCACAAAGTGGTTTGCAAAGAGTTAAGTTCTAGAGGACTGTATTCATTTTATATAATTGTGAGATAGATAGATAGCTCGATTGTTTGACGAACGAGAGAAAACAAGGAAAGAAATCACCTGGTTGTCTTTAGAAATAACTATAACATCAAAGAATCATACAGCAAGCAAGCAAGCAGAATATCACAAGTCCATTCAGCTTGACATCAATACAGGACATTTACTTCGTTATACCGGAAAGTTCGTTAGTTCTTTATACCGGCAAGTTCGTTATACCCGGGGTTCGTTATATCGGGATTCCACTGTATTTCGCAGAGTTTTTCGAATAAGAGTTAGTCCTTCTTCATAAGAATGTCAATATACGATGTTTCGCATAAGTTTTTAGAATATGAATGTTCTCTAGAGTCTAGATAGTAAGTTCCGTTCAATGAGGTGGTTCCGATATGCCTTACCTATTAAAAATCTAGTATCGCTTTCATTGTTTGCTCATAACAATCTCGAGTGCAATCAAATTGAACCTCCTCATGTATAGTATCCAATTGTCAGCGTTCTCCTCAAACCTGCTATTCGACTATATTTCATTTGAGATGAACTATGCGCAATCTTCTGCTTTCAAGATTGCAACCCTTTTATACCATCCTTTTCAAAGGAGGCGGTTAAATTTTCATTAAATTACTTTGCAATTTAACAATTCCAGCTTTTCTTTCGAAAAAGGTGTAATATAGGCAGGAGACAAAAATATCATATCAAATTTCGAGAGTTTTCTTTCATTTAAAGGCCTCAGTTACATGAACATCAACTCATTTGCTTTCGATCCCTAGAGCAGACTTAATTGATTTGTCTACTGTTTCTGCAGATATGACTGGTACTTCAAGACGTCGAGTGCAGAAGAACACATGGTAAAAGCGGTAACAAGTGAGCTACTTTGATCTTCTTCATACTCATTTGTTAATTTAATAATTAAATACCCTGAGAATCATGCAAATTTTTTTGTATACACTGAATAAATTGGCAAAATATGCTTTAAGTCTTCGAAATCCTAAAATTGAGCACAGTTAGTGAAAACCACATTTTTAGAGATCATGTAAAGATAAGGAGAAGAACTGTTTCATTAAACAGTCTTAGCTGATATCTGGCAGTATGTCCAGATTCATCTTGACAGAACGATTGAAGAGTCGATCTCGTTCTCTCTTAAGATGGAGTCAAAAGTTGTTTTGTTTGTTTCTTTGAAAAGTGACTTCAGAAACTCGTTGAGATATTTTGACAAATGGAATAGGAAATCTCATATGATGCTCCGGGTAATCTTTAGAGAAAAGCTTGCTCAATAAAATATATACAAATGTTTGCTATACCACGCATAGCCTTAGCTTTGATGTGCTTAAAACAAGGCTAGAGGCGATGTTTGGATTATTTGTCAACTCATTCGACGTTTTCTTGAATTTTCCTCATTATATTACCTATGATGCCTTTGATCTCTAGGCTACCTAGGACAATCGCTGCTTTCCTTTCTGTTTCATATCATAGTCTTTTGTTGTTTTTCCGTTTGCTGAAACTCAAATTGCTCAAATTCGAAATATTCTATTCAAAGAAGTTAATCTTATTTCCAAGAAAAACAAATGCGGGCCAAGATTCAAGAAGGACACTTTCCTACGTGGCCGAGTATTTGCACGCCTAAGTGACCTAATTTGAGTTTGTTTGGACGGTGCCGTGTAGACGCAGCCTTGAACTTTGCTTTAGAAATACGACAATGTACGGTTTTTTCCCTTTGTTATCAGAAATTGTAATACCTATGATGCCTTTGATCTCTAGGCTACCTAGGACAATAGCTGCTTTCCTTTCTGTTTCATATCATAGTCTTTTGTTCTTTTTTGTTGTTTTTCCGTTTGCTGAAACTCAAATTGCTCAAATTCGAAATATTCCATTCAAAGAAGTTAATCTTAGTTCCAAGAAAAACAAATGCGGGCCAAGATTCAAGAAGTACACTTTCCTACGTGACCGAATATTTGCACGCCTAAGTGACCTAATTTGAGTTTGTTTAGACGGTGCCGTGTAGACGCAGCCTCGAACTTTGCTTTAGAAGTACGACAATGCACGGTTTTTTGCTTTGTTTTCAAAAATCATCATGTCAGTTTTATCATTTATCAGAAAAAGTTCGCTGCTTGCAGAGAAATTGCTTTCCAATATGAGAATATAACAAAATTGACGGCATAAGGTGGCCCATAAGTTTCAATTCAACTGCAAAGAAGTAGACATAAGATGACTCAAACGGCTTCAACAGACAGCTTCATGTAAACACATTGTAAAAGCTGGTAGTATGAAGTTTAGTTGTGATTGCCTTCCTTGCAGTAAAGATGTTAGCAATGAGTCTTTAAGTATTCGGCAATATAACATGGTCTACTTCTTATAGCAGGATCTTACAACCTGGACAGTTTTTTAGCTAGAATTCATCAATACTTTGCTTAAATACCAAATCAGAAAAATGGGCTGCTTGTTGAAACTGCCTTCAACATAGTCAAAAGAAAGACTATGGGTTGACTATGGTTGTTCAGGAAACTGAGCAGCCAGTGAAAAAGTAGCTGCCTGAAAACCAAATACCAAGTGCACTTGTTTCACTTACAGTTGGCGAAGTAGTAGCTCTCATTCACACGAACAAAGCAGCGAGAGGGCTGAATCCAGGACATTGAAGAAGTAATGATTGCTACATTAAAGTAAGGTGTCGGTTGATCACCAGAATTTGCTCTAGCTAAACTGAGTTTTGGGATGTTTTTGAAAAACAGAAAGGAGGGCTTGCAAAAACTTTCTCAAAGAGCGAGCAGTTAAAGGAGGCTCAATTCCCTGCGCCCCCGAGCACCCTATTCTTTTTACCCTTAACTGAGTCTAATCAGCATTGCTAACCGCTTCACTTCATAGCGCGCGACTGATCATTTCTTTAAAGTCTCACCAAACGGACGAACTGCTCATTCCGTCGCTTATCCATTCGTTCTTTTATTCCAACCTCAATTTCACTAATTCACCTGCTCTCATCAGATTTTTGTGTTACATTTGGTTCGGAATGTAATAAAAGTGTTATTGTAACATTTAATATAAATTAGAATACAAACAAATACAAGTTTACGAAAACATATGTAAAATAAAGACAGGTTTTGAAGTTAGACACGGGATTTATTAGAATCGCTGAAAGATATTGTGCAAAGGCGCTGCTCTAACCAAAAGCGATATTTTGCCTCAGAACAACTAATTACTGCATATTACTTCTTAGATCTTACTTACACAACAAACATAACACAAATGTACAAACCTTGACTAGGCTGGAATATGGGTTCGAAGGGTATGTCATGTTATTTGTTTGGTCAAGGCTCCATGTCATATACCCACCACGAAAGTGGGAGCCTTCTGCTAAGCACAGTGCTAAAAAGAGCGCAAAGTATTGCAAAACCCGCATGACTTCTTGTCTGCTAACGAATGATTTCTTTGAAGCAGACGAAGTCTTTTCTTTCAGAATATTTGGTCATGCGTTAAAGTCGATTATTTCAGTCTTGTTAACGAAAATCTTTTCCTAGAAGGATGAGGAAACATCTGTCACACCTGTCTATTGATGCCTTTGTTCGGGACATAATAGTACAAAACCTGCTCCTGATTTCCATTTGGCAATCAGGTTTGCCATTTCAATTGGCCGTCAAAAAAGTCGCTTTGCCGAATACTGATCGTACATAGAAAACCAACATAGAAAACCAACATAGAAAAACCAACATAGAAAAACCAACATAGAAAAACCAACATAGAAAAACCAAAAGGAGCAAAGCAGTTTTTGCAAAGCAGTCCGTCGATCTGCCCTCATTTTTGATAAGAATACTACAAATTTTCTCCAGCCTCAGTATTCTTAAAGACTCATTGCTAACAATAAAGCATTGCGCCACGCAAGCATCCTATAATGCATTTTCTGACTGTCTGAAACGGTCTGAAATCAATTTTTGTTAATCCGTAGAAGTTTACTGCTAGGCCGTAAGCTGTGTCAGATTTTTATTTGGTTTCGTTGCCCCCATTCCGGCACTACGTTTAATAAGCATTTTCCTGTGTGTTTTTTCGTGCTGATTACGAATCTTCTTGTTGTCAACTGTTAAAACCTGCAATTCTCTTGAAATTCAGCTTCAAACTTCACCATTCCCGCGCTTAAGGTGTATAACATGGAATGCCGAAAGCCGATGCTGCTTAATTATTCTCGGCCCTATATCACAGTCCGGGTAATACCTAAGTACCAATTGCTTTAAAATAAACATGGCGGTCGGCTAAACAAATTTCTCCTATTACGTTGTTTGATACATTCTTGACATTCTTGCTTTCCAGTAGCGGCACCAAGGGGTAGTATGGACGGTTACCCCCCCCCCTCTTGCAAAACATTGTCCAGATATCCTCCTAAAATTGATAAAAAATGCACTGGGTAGGGGCAGGTCATATTTTTCAAGATTTGTCTATGAAAATGCACCTGGCATAAAAAACAATTAAAATGAGACAGTAAAGGCGTAGTCTCCTGGGTCACGCCCATAACCCTCCCACTCTGCTACAGCTGGCGCCACCACTGTTTTATTTTTAACCCTTTTACAAAGCTTAAATAGTTGAAATGTTTTTCATAAAATTATTGATTTCAACCTGATGTAAGAGAGTAAAGTACCAAAAACCATAAAGGGTCATCAACTATTCAAAACCTGTATACGAGAACAGGGCCGCGGAGAGAATTTATGGGCCCCGGGTCAGGACAAAAATTAAATTATAAAGCATGCCTAAGGCAGACGCTTCTAGGAGGTATGGGGAATGCTCCCCATAAAATTTTTGAAAATTATGGTTGCTTAAACTGCTAGGGTGGCTATTTTGGTTGCTAAAATTGTCATTGTGGCTAAACTGCGCCGGTGGCAATGGTGTAGATAGAGGGGGTCAGAAGGAGCAAAAACACCACTGTAGAGCTAAACTGCTATTTTTTCGGAAAACCTCTGCTCTCTCTGTCTCTGTCTATGTTTATCTAAATGTTATGTTTTGATGGGAGAAAATTTGTATCTAAATAAACATAAGAATATTCAATATATCAAATGATCTTTTTTCAGTTCTGATGTCGTTATGTTATGTTGAAATTTATGAGAAAGATATAGAAGCTTGTTAGATTTTTGTCGGAAAATCCATGGTTCTCACCCCTCCTGTGAATTAGAAAGAAATAGAAAATAACAGGTACAAGATGATACGTTTAAATAACTGAGAATAAAAAACAAATGGGTTAGGCGCAAGACTTAGGGATATTTAATGGAAGAGATATGATTTATCACAAGTACATTTATTACTTTAGGCAACTCTTTATTCTGTTCCCTTCCATATCGCACTGCTTCATTAAACCTTGCACTTCTTAAATACAATCGATATACAATGTACGCATCAAGTAGCATACTTACCATACCTGATAACTGATATCTGATACCTGACAATTTGAGCTTAACTGATGTCTTAGCACCATAATGCATGAAAATGAAATTTTCTTAGAAATTCTTAAAGGCTAGAAAATGAAAAACGTTCCATTCATTAACTAAATTGGACTACAACAGACACACTGTTGCAAATAGATGCGAACGCCATAGTGTAAATCTGTATGACATACATATTGCCCTGTATGTTACCCTGCAATCGCATTTCGTAACATTCAGAAGCTTTTGAACTTCTTTAGCCCTAGCCAACAAAGATGAGAAATTCTTAACAAAAATTTCTTCACGACTTCATGGACCTTAATCATTATTGTCTCTAATATTATGTTTTGTTAATGTTGATGGGGAGGCTGGATTATTACTTAGAAATTTTGTTCAATTGAGTTATTATTTATGGGCCCCCGGGTCAGTGACCCCCCTGACCCCCCTCTCCTCAGCACTGTACGAGAATAGCCTGTACAGTATGAGCAAGCTTACTCGCATTTGCCAACTGTAAGCTCGTTCATGCTGCTAACTACGGTGTTAACTACAAAAACAGATGGTTTTGACCATAATACATGATGATGTTGTGATGACGTCATCAACCGTTAAAAGGCATCTTCTCAGACACGAAGCGTTTGACAACGCTCTAAGTTGCACGTTTATATACTAACTTAAAGTGATCTAGCTAGTGAGGGCAGTTTCTGTGTCAAAAAATGTTTTTTAAATAATTTGACTGTATCGATGACGTCATAAAACCTAGAAATTATTGACCCCCGTATCTCACGAGATGCATGTTTGTCAGAGTGACAACAACTGATTTTATATCAAGTAACACATTATGAACAAGAAAAAACAGTCGTGAAGTTGTGCCCGGATGCGGGCAACGAAAATTGATTTTGGAGCACCTTTTTTGGTCACAGCTTACGGCCTGCCATCGTTTGGACCGTCGCCACGCTCGCAAAGGCCCATTGTTAGCAATGAGTCTTTAGAAATTTTTGTTTTGATTGAGCCTGGATATATTAAAATGGCTGTAAAATGGTTGAAACATACTAAAGATTTTTGATTGACACTGAAACCAAGAACCAATTAAATCCATTAAAAAAAATCGTATGTTATAAAAGTTATAATCACCTGAAGCGACCTGAAATCACCTGAATTCACCTGAAATAATCTAAAATCATCTGGAATCACCTGGAAATCACCTTAAACCATCTACAAATCACCTGAAACCACCTGAAAATCTCCTGACAGTTAGCCGGAATTCCTGATTTCCCCAATCACACCTTAGTTGTGCAGCAATTATTCCAATTGTTCCCATGCAATACATAAGAAGACACCACTTCGAAACAGGGTTGGTATATTGGCTTTTTTTAAGCCAAATTCCACAAATTTAGCTTTTTTCGAACTTGTTTGGCTTCAGAAATTCCTTTTGGCTAAAAGTCACTTTTTGGCTTAATTTTGGCTTTTTTCCACAAGTACAGGCATAAGTACTTATTTCCTACCTTCCTTCTTTTTTCATCATTCTAACAGAAATTGACAATTCAAGCACTTAATGCACATATTTTATTGTGATTTAGACACTTTGTTGAACATCTGTGATTTTATCCACCTTGTCCGATTGCTACGTGGTTTTCGCTTTGTTCTTCATTCCTTCTGCCTGTTGAAGCAGGGTTTAATGACCGAGGTAACCCCACCCCCTTGTTGCAGTCGATTAACCTCGCTTTAAGCTAGGACACCCGATTTTCTAACTTGCAAGAAGGAGAGATCCAACTTTTGCAAAATGCCTCTCAGCTCTCACAACCTCTGGATTGAAACCAGTGGATTTGGAAAGAATCCGATCCCTAGGGCTGATATTTGGTTACTGTATCATTCATTGAAAGGTACCAAGTGACCAATGGTATTTAGAGCAGTTTCGCTTTTTGAGTGATCCCGGTCATGGCTTTTCGTTAGCCTCGTTTTGATGAAGACTATTTTGACTCATTGTAACCAAAAGAAGCTCGGTATTCAAAATATGATCATTCTAAGGAACTTGCATACTTTTATTTTTGGTAAAACTCGAAAATCACCCAAGTGGGAAATCATCGAAGTATTTGAATGGAACAAAGGCGCACGATAGACTGGAATTATCACACCAGTGAAATTATCAGTCCTTTATGCGAGACAATAGATTTAATCTCATTCACGAAAACAATGTAGGTGATTTACAGATAGTTTCAGGTGATTTGCAGGGGATTTGCAGGTGGTTTCAGGTGATTTGCAGGTGATTTCAGATGATTTCAGGTGATTTCAGGTCGTTTCGGGTGATTTCAGATGATTTCAGGTGATTTCAGGTGATTTCAGGTCGTTTCAGGTGATTTCAGGTGATTTTAACTTTTATAACATACGAGAATTAAATCCAATGTAAAGGTCTACATCCAGAAAAAAAATGGAGAATATTCTCCTCGACAAAGAAAAATTCGAAAAACTGTGTCAAGTCGAAACACAGGATAAACGGTCCAGTTAGAGCATAAACTAAAAAACACCATTTGGAGCTAGTTAGCTGAAAAATTCTAACCACCGGTATTTACGAAAGGATAAGACAACAGGTCAATAAAGTCCACAATCGCATTGTCACCCTATCCTATACATAGTCCGAATGTTCCACTTAGACCCATCTTGTCTTTCTGAAGTTTCGAAACACGTTCTTCAAAAGTGTTCAAACACTGCATTAAGGATTTTTTACGTTGGCCGAGTACATTAAGAGCGAAACATCTTTCATTCAGGGGCGGGTTCAGGGTGTCGCACAGGTCGCACGGAAGACCGTCAGATTTTCAGAATTTAGTTTTAGTCTTCAGACATTGAAATGAGGCAATCATGTTTACTAAAATCTTTTATTTCTCTCCTTACAGATAATACATTTACCTCTCTTTACACAATAAAAACAGGACCGAACCACCCGAATCTTGGTCGATCTCGCACACAATGCCACGATTTAATTCAATATAGAAGAAATTCAAAGACCATCCTAAACCGTAAACAGTATGATTTTTAGGCATGTCGCCCGTGCCGCACAAATATGC